CTACTGCACTATTTGTACACGTTTATTATTAGTCTATTATATAATTATAAATGTATTTATGAAACCGCATGAAAGTTCCTCTTATGATTCTCTAAAGTAAGTGGTCCTTTAAAATATCTTTGGCAAGTTTCACAAAAGAAACGATACTTGTTATTGTGAGATTTTAAATGCTTATTCAATAGATCCTTCCTAGCAAATGTTTTTTCGCAGTACGTACACGAGAATTTATCCGGGTTCACGTGAAACGCATTATGTCGAGACAGATTGTCCATTCTTGTGTACTTTTTCGTACAAATCTCGCAGGTGAACATGGTCCTCTCAGAGTGACATCTTTGGTGATACCTCAGGTATCGCTTTTGCGCGAACGTCTTTTTGCAGGCACAGCAAACCACTTGATTCGATTCATCTTTCTTCACATCCATGTGATCGGCCAGCTGATCGCTGTTATTGAACTCTTGTTTGCAAAACTGACACGCATATCGTTTCAATGGTTTGGATTTTTGGATTTTGTCTAGGAATGTTGGATCTGTCATGATTTTATAAAGAAAAGTATGCTTCAGTTTCTCGTTCGATTGTGCGTTAGCGTCCGGCGCATTTTGCTCGCAGCAATTCTTTTTGCACAAATTGACAGCTTCTTCCACAGTATCTTCATTACTAGAAGATGATGTACTCAACGCTTTCTCATATGACTTCAAATTGTCTGCTGAAGTACTGGCTATGTAACATTCTTCAGAATCTTCTCGTATTAAAAACGACTGCAACATGTAGGTTTCATTATAGGAACATAATTATATGAATATTAATAATGATAATCAAATAATTAATTGAAACAAACGTTGTTGTTATCGTCACTAGCGTCTTCTGTATCTTCGTCAGATTGTGACTCAGCTTGTTGGTAACTTGGACTAGTTATTAACTTGAATAACATCGAATTCTCTTCTGGAGCCTCAGTCTGTGAAAAAAAGTTACAGTTCTTTCAGAAATTGTAGTATTCTTTCATATCTTACTATAAGATATACTCTATACGTTTGAGTATACATGTATTGCTTGAAATTATTCTTATATAATATTTAAAAATTGTATATGCCATTAACATTGGTGAAATCTATTTATCGAATGGACATAGTACATAGAAATCGTGCGAGTGACATTTCAACACATGTGTTTACATTTCCACCGCGATTTTGAAGAATGTCATGCTGTCCACGAATGTGAATCGCTTCCATTTGTATGTACATACGTAACTGTGAACGTATTTACGTACTACGTATACAATACATGTATAATGTATACATATACATACTATACATACACAGCTGAAAGCTGTCACGTGACGTACCTTAGGTTTAATCGACATGTCTAACGCTTCGTCAGGATAACGTAATCGTTCTTCCTCTTCAACACATTGTCTTCCTGCTCGATACTCGTTTAAATCTGATGTTCTCTCATGTAACACATTGTATTCACCAGTCTTGGATAGTTTTGAAAGTTCGGAATTTGTTGAACGTTGTTTCCCTTTCTCCATTTTTACAGTAATAATTTCGGATACTGCGTGAATGTTGCTATTGGAATTAAATATTCGCTTTCTCGGTACGGTTTTTACTCTCATTATTATTGACCGCTAGGTAACAGTACAAGGATATCAATATTATTGGAACAATAACTTCAAATACCATCAAAGTATTGATTTCTTCATCTAATATAAAAAGCAAGTATCCTCCTGTTCAAGATAAAATAACGAAATGCAGAAGAAACGAAGATATTTTTAATGAAAGCATTAATGATCATTTGATAAAAATATCACAGATTTGTTTAATTCTCCGGTCCCACTCTAATAAACGAAATATTCTTAAATTTATACACGCGTTAAATATTTTATTCACATAACTTTGTAGTTAAATTATACACATTATTTAAATGCGAATTGGAATTAATGAAAAACTACATATTTTCGAATTTGTACGTTATAAACATAGTTATTTACATTGTACTTACATAGTGCATTGCATGGAACACGTTCTCACACTCATGTAACGTAGTTGTGGAAGAGAATTTTAATTTAATTTACGCTATGAATTTGATTCGACGTCTATACTACGGAGAACGTTTGCACGCGCAATACATATTTCACAGAGCGACGACGGCAACTGAGAAGACACCGTGTTTGGCTGTCCTCTGAGTGACTTTGACGATTAGCGCGAGAAGCACGTTGCGGAGTCGCCGCACGGAAATTCGAGTTTGCAAACAGAAGGCTTCAAGGTTGTCTTCGACGAAGACCGATCTACTTATTCACTGAACACTAATAAGTTCTAACTTTTCTTACATCAATAATTATTATTAATTATAAATATTCGAAATAGAATTGAATTTCTATGCGATATATGTACGTATATTTATGGATTATGTATTACCACATATTACTTCTAATACGTTGTTGGTATTTATTCAGATCGTGCATAAATGTTGAGAATGTTTAATAGTATTTGATGTCACATGTAACTGACATCATAATCGTAGTTTTAATGAATAACATTGATGATAAAGACAGATCGGTACAGTTTAACGCGAAGAGAGAAATGAAGATAGAATAGGAAGGACAGGACGATCTACCGACAGACAGACAGACAGTCAGTCAGTCCGTCAGGTAGAGGGTGGATGCCGACGAGGATGGGGTGCAGACGGGGTCAAGCATAAAATTGGCAAAAAAAGCCCCGATGTTTGGTAGGATGTTTCGTGTCCCTCCCTGCACGTCCCGGTCGTTAATATGGCATAAGGAGAAAGCAGGGTTAAGCGAGGGTGAAGCGAGGATTTTTAATTGTAGTTCAGCCGGTATAACCCCGCTCGACCCGCCGGTATTGTCATACCGGAGCGGCGCTTTTCTTTATTTCCCCAGTGGCTGGATGAGGTTATACATTTTTTTAACTACGGCAATGCCTCCGTCTTCTTATTAGCAAAGCTAATTGGAAATACAAATGGTTATTCACGGTAAGAAGGAGAGGAAGCCCGAAGACCGACTGCGAGTACCAACCGATGGAGGGCTCCGTGGACGAAAAAGAGCGTCGGCGGGGAGGGGGAGGTGGCCAGGGGGGCCTGGTACTTCTCTCCGCGTATTAAGCTTGTATTTGCCCCGGATAATTAGGACTTTTTCCCGACCAATTCGGATGAATAATTGATTTTGCTTCAGCCTGCTGCCGGCATACCCTGTCGCTTCTGCTTCTTCTCCTCCTCCTCCTTTTCGTTCGAATGACAATCACCCAAAGAAAAATACAGATCTTTCGGATGAAATATTCAGCGCCCACGAGATGGGAACGGTGAATACGAAGACTGTCTTCAAGTACCACCTGGCTTATCGTTCAATCAAAATATTGGGATTAACGCTGAATAATTTTGACAGCTTCCCTCTGATAAATTTTTTATTGCCGTTACTCAAAATTTAAAATTACACAAGCCTGTACATAGATTAATCCTTTAATTTATTAAAGGTACTGCTGTGTTTATCGCCATTAAAATATAATTAAGTCATTGTTCCATACGATTGCTATAAGTGAACAGAGTACATACTATAAAGCATCGACAAGTTATTGAGCAGAACTGTATAACTAACGTGTAGTCGGTCAAGCAGCAATCTCGTAGGAGCCCTCGTTTTGCCTGGCCACGAAGAAACGCCCGTGGGGCTCTGCAACTTTTTTTTTCATCAGCATTTTACGGTTATACTCGCGCATTAATAATGCACATGCTTAATATAAAAAGAAGCCCGCGAGTCTCCGTCTAATAAACTGGAAGAATGCTTTATAACCGGCCGCGGTTTCGGGTCACGAGGAGGAGAGGGATGACAGGGAGAGAAAGGGAAAGAAAGTTTGCTGAGCGGCTAAAGGCGGTGGTTTTCTTCTTTACGCCGGCGAGATGGCCAATCTCTCCAGGACACGTCGAACGAAAGTGGCCGAACTTTTCGAGCCGCGAGCAGACAAATCGTCATACGACGAAAGCTTAGGTCGTTAAAGGACTTCCCTCATTTGCTTTCCTTCGCGGTTAACTATCGGTAAATTATATTCTTTCAGGGAAATATTGTGTTGTATGATAAGAATTATCTCGTCCTTTGGTTAAAATGAATATGCATGAAGCAGAGACATCTTACTGGAAAATATTCTCGGCTCAATTAAGTTAAAATGATATTAGAAACCCTACATTTTTATATAATTATATGAACACGTTTAGTTGTCATTCCACATTAGAAAGATCGGAATATTTATATTTAATTACGTGATGATTTTTTAAACATTTTCATAAAGAAGATGCATTGTGATTGAAATACAGGATTCATGCTACATCCTCTGCCAATACTAAAGTATAATCAAGTCTTATTGGAGAGAGTTGTTCACGAATCTTCCACGAATTACAGGTCAGTTCCAAATGATTCACATGGAATGTAAGTTTAACGTGATACGCGGAAATATTTTTCTATCATTTTAGCCAGGGAATAAATTATTCATGGGAAGACAGTCACCTCCAGTTATATCATCAACGTGACGTTCGAATGTAAATCATTTTTAGCCAGGCAATTTTCATATTCATCTTATCCTCGAGAGTCAAATGAATTTTTCTCTCTCTCCTCGGAGCTGATTTCCGAGTTGTGAGCGAGAGGAGGCCGCGCAGACTGGATAGCGAAGGTGAGACTTTTTGAAAAATATGAGTTTAATAAAGCAGAAAGTATGATGTATGGCTCGCTGCCAAGGGAAAGAACTTACCGGGATCAACTGACTTCGATACCCAGATATTGTATGTGTAATATAAGCAGATGAAGGGAATTGCCACGATGTACCGGGCATCACAATATTTCATCAGCCGTTCGACGGCTTCGCTGAACCATATTAAATACTTTTCTTATTATACTTAATACACTTATTACATCCTTAATTTTCCTTTTTCATACTTTGCTCAGTCTAATATTGATTTAGCAGATTGCCATTAAAAAATTGTTGCAGATAATTCAAATTGTACGTAAGTGTATAGTAAATCTAGATTATCTAATATTTTCACAAAGCATCATGTCAATAAAAAAAATGGAAAGATATCGTTCAAGAAAAATGTATCTTCATGAAGCACTTGGATAAAATCAGAGATCGTCCAAAGGGCATCGAATATGTTTTTTTATCATTCGTTTCGAATGCCAACCCTCGATATGGTACAATCTGACAGGATCCGACGTAGCGTACGAGGAATTTCCATGGAAATCGATGACACCATCGATAACACCAAGCTTCGAAGGAGAATAGATATCCGTAATTTATCCAGATAAGGGGTTGTAAAACGACGTAGCTATCTGCCAATACGGTTTGCTCCCTTTTCATGCAAGGGCGTGAGAGGAAGCATCCAGGTTGTGGCCAGATGAAGGGGGCGCTTCGATGGAAATTGACGTTATTTGAATATGGCACGGGCTACGACGCGATTTCAAGATATGTACTATACACGTTGGTGTTGTTGTTCAAGCTCAACTGTTGTGCAAGCTCAGCTTCAACCATTCGATAACTATTCGATAATCCTGCAACTTTCCTCGACTCTGTACGAGTGTACATACAATAGATACATAATAATAAAAACTTCCTAATGTAAATTGATCTAACGTAATCTGATGATTGAAGATTAATCTGAATTTCGGACGAGCAATACTGTTCATCATCATACACATAGTGTGAACATAAGTCAGAACGCAGAAGATGTACGCATTGTCGGGAAACAATATCTCGGATACGTGACGTGCCTGTGTCACGTAGACGCTATCTACAACGTTGTTTAACAAGCACGTTGTTCAAGTCAAAGTGTGTACAGTGCTCAGTGCCCGTCAATGGCGTTTCTTAGCTTATGCATAAAGCTCTTTCGCTAGCTCCGTCGCGTACCCGTCGGGGCCGCTGCCTCCGTGTTCCTTGTCCCCCTCCATCTCCACCAGCTTCTCATCTCTCACGATTTCAGCCCTCTCCCCATTTCATCGAGGCTTCAACCCCTTCTTCGACTGGTAGTAGCAACCAGCCAACATGTCTCGCTTGCTCGCTTGTACGCTGGCTCGCTTGCTCGCTCGCGAGTGTTTTCGCCAGGATGTATCGCAAAATCTATACTCGTTGAGGGCACCAGGAGGAGGTGAGACGAAGGCACGGGAACGGGGCTGCCGAGAGTCAGAGGATGAGACGGAAGAGTGGCGGAGGCCAGGGCGGTTTTCGAGAAGGGTGAGCCCCGTCACATTTCACTACAGACTAATAACTTCTGAATATTCATTTCGTGTTTCTCCTTGCCTGCTTGCGTATCCGTAAGCAAGGCTAATGCGACGCTCACAACGTGTTCGATTTTCAGAACTCACTATCCCTTTCTTAAAATGTTTTCTACCGTCGCACCAATTAATCACTCGGTATTGAAAATTCATAAACATATACATGCTTACTTTCGCACTGAACACTTTTTCCATGATTTGTTTGG